CTCCCCTCCCCCCCAAATCAATAAAAAACCTATCCTCCAGTAAGGATTCTTTTAAAAAAGGATGAAATGTTACCAATGAGCATTTCTCTCTCACATCAATGTTTCTCTCTCCAAAAAAAAAAAACATGAAATGTTATCTAGCAATCAAAAAGAATAGATGCTTATAAATATAATAACATGATGAATCTCATAGACATTATGCTTAGTGAATAAAACAAGAGTGCATACCGTAAGAATCCGTGTCTATGTAGTTCAAGAGCAGTGAGAGTAACTGATGGTGATAATAATCAGGAGCATGGTCATCCTTGGAGGAGTGTTGGGAGAGGGGTATTTAAGGAAGCTGATCCATACCCCAAAGTGGACTTGCAGCAATGTACGTGTTCTGAGCAGAGGGAACAAAGGAATGGAACCATTGGGTCGATACAGAGAGTTTCACTGTCAGCCCATTAAGTGTTCACTGGATCCCTCGCGGCAGATGGTCAGGTGACACAGCAGTGTGTGTCGTCTGTATATACATCCAAAACTCATTGGCCCTGGCTGGTTTGGCTCAGCAGTTAGGGCATTGGCCTGCAGACCGAAGGGTCACAGGTTCGGTTCCCGATCAAGGGCACGTGCCTGGGTTGCATGTTTGATCCCCAGCCCCGATTGGGGTCGTTCAGGAAGCAGCCAGTTAATATCTCTCTCTCACATTGTTGTTTCTCTCCCCCTCTTCCTCCCTCCCTTCCACTCTGCCGAAAAATCAATGGAAAAATATCTCCAGGTGAGGATTAACAAAACAAAAACTTTTTTTGTTTGGACTCTCCTTTTTAGTGGGTAGTGTAGAAATACCTTTTTAAATAGTAAATATAAATTTTTTTTAATCCTCACCCAAGGATATTTTTCCATTTATCTTCAGATAGAGTGGGAGAGAGAAAGAGAAAAAAACATCGATGTGAGAGAGACACATTGACCAGCTGCCTCCTGCACGACCTGGACCAGGGCCGGGGACAAACCACAACCGAGGTATGTGCCCTTAACTCTCTGGTCCACAGGCCGACGCTCTAACTGCTGATCCAAACCGGCCAGGGCAAATAGTAAATATAAACTTTTAAAGGGCGCGTGCATTGATGCGGCGGCTCTGCTCGTAGGAACATGTCCTATAGAAACACACGTCCACGTGGATGTGTGACAAGGATATCCAGCACAGCACGTGGATGTGTGACAAGGATATCCAGCGCAGCACGTGGATGTGTGACAAGGATATCCAGCGCAGCACGTGGATGTGTGACAAGGATATCCAGCGCAGCACGTGGATGTGTGACAAGGATATCCAGCGCAGCACGTGGATGTGTGACAAGGATATCCAGCGCAGCACGTGATGTGTGACAAGGATATCCAGCGCAGCACGTGGATGTGTGACAAGGATATCCAGCGCAGCACGTGGATGTGTGACAAGGATATCCAGCGCAGCACGTGGATGTTTGACAAGGATATCCAGCGCAGCACGTGGATGTGTGACAAGGATATCCAGCGCAGCACGTGGATGTGTGACAAGGATATCCAGCGCAGCACGTGGATGTGTGACAAGGATATCCAGCGCAGCACGTGGATGTGTGACAAGGATATCCAGCGCAGCACGTGGATGTGTGACAAGGATATCCAGCGCAGCACGTGGATGTGTGACAAGGATATCCAGCGCAGCACGTGGATGTGTGACAAGGATATCCAGCGCAGCACCATTGGTAATGTCGTCTTCATTTTACACACAAAGACGCTGATGTCGGTGCACATCCGAGGTTATTCCACTGCAAAGTGCTAAAGCCAGAGTTTTAATCCGGAACCGTCAGACTCGCACCCTGTGCTCGTTCCTCGTACCTAGAGCCACGTTGTCTTCAGAGCAGTCACGAGTGCTGTGGGCTGCGTCTAGCTAGCCATCTTTACATTTATACTGCAGGTGCAGCTGGGACAGAAGGGGCCGTCCCAGGGCTGCAGTCAGATGAGGTCCAGCCACATGTGACAGAACTCACAGCACAGGTGTGTGTCCTCCAGAAGAGCCGCTTTGCACTCCCCCGATCTGATATCTGAAAACCTTCCCCAGCATTACGGAACCCGTGTATGAGGCGCCAGAGGGCAGAGCAAGGGCCGGAGAAGGAATTAGAGGAAGGAAGATTACAACCCACTGTACCAGTGATCAGAAGCATCACAGAATCCTCGGTTATAGACGTGGCTTCTGAATTCAGGTGTACCGTTAACTTACTGGTACCTTTGGACAAGTGACTTATTCTTGCAGGGCCTGTTTTCCCCACCATCAAAAGAGGAGATTGAGTTAGCCCCTCTCTGCAGTCTTTCTGAGTTCCTTTCGCGGATTCTTTGGGCCACACTTTTTCCGTATGCTGGGTAGGCATATGCCTGCCCCAATTCCCCCAGCCACTGAGTCCCTCTCCAAGAACAGAGCCTACTAGAGATTTCAAAGCGTAGGATTCTAAGACTCACTCCCCGGAACACCCCAGACCTGGAGACGGTAGTCACGCTCCACCGGAGAGCTCTGTTTTATCTAGCTTCAGTGTCCCTCAGCCATTTTGGACATCATGTGGTTTCCGGGCCTCTGGCTTGCTCCAGCCTGTCCGTGTCCACTAACGTGCGCACCAACACAGAGACACATGACCACAGGTCACCAGCGCAGAAGGAACAGTCTCATCTCCCGCACCTGTCAGTACACCGCTCTCGGGGTGCCCTCTGCTCTTGAGAGCAATTGTAACCACGTCACTGTGCATCTGATTGTGCACGTGTGCTGGCCGGGGTTCCCGCGTCACTGTGACGGCAGGCTGTGGAACAGTGGCCTTTCTTCCGGCGATGGAGGGCGCTCCCTCTGCTCGCCCTTTCTCTCTCCACTAGAGGACAGCCCAAACCACCTTCCACCTGGCTAGACTTGGGGGAGAGCTGTCCCGGATGTTATCCACAGCGGCATGGGACATAGAGGGAGCAGGAAATCAGGGTTCTCATCACAGGGCCCCAGCTGGCCAGCATGGTATCTTGGCCACGTCCCTTTGCATCTCTGAATCTCTTCCTGCAACTTCAGATCACAGACTCTGAAGCCTCAAAGCCAGGAGAGCTGAGAAATTCTTTTTTTTTTTTATCCTCACCGGAGGACATTTTTCCATTTTTTGTTCAGATAGAGTGGGAGGGAGAGAGAGGAACAGAGAGAGAGAGAGAGAGAGAGAGAAACATCGATGTGAAAGGAACACATCGAGTGGCTGCCACCCGCACAACCGACCAGGGCCAGGGACAAACTGCAACCGAGATACGCGCCCTTAGCGGGAACTGAACCCGGGTCTCTCAGGACCGCAGGCCGACGCTCCAACCGCTGAGCCAAACCGGCCAGGGCATGAGAAATCATTCTGTACCGCTCCAGGAGCACATTCTTGCCATGGCGTTGCAGAGAGAGGCCCTGCAGACTCCGCCGGCTGCTTCCGTCTCTGGGGTCTCCCTGTCCTGGGTCCACACTTCCCGACAGCCTGCTGTGCGCGCAGCCGTGTGCGCTGCTTTCGCATGCAGCGTTCAGTCCTCACAACGCGCTGCCCTGCGAGGGTGTCCCGCCACCGCCGTGTCCCATTCTGTCCACTTCACAGATGAGAAAACTGATGGGAGATCACGTGACTGAGCAGAGGGGACAGGGATGCAGAATAATGGCTGCAGGCCTCCCACACCTTCAGTGAGCCCCCCTTGCTAAGTAATTCAGCAAACTGTCTGGAGGAGTGAAGTTGAGAGGTCGGCGGGCCTGGTGTGCAGTCCCGGCTGCTTGTAAGCAACTGAATGGATTCTGTCCGCTCTTCCCACGGCTTTCCCTCTGGGCCCGGCACTGAGCCTGGCCGCCAGCTGGTATTTCTTGATTGGTTAATAATAGAGATATTAATAGTGCTGTACATTGGTGTGGCATATATTAACTCTTCTAAGTGATGCTTTTAACTAATAACCCATTTGTTAATGCAGCCCAAGGACTAGACACTGCAGAGGTCCTGGAGGCATGAGTAGGGACTTGAAAAGACTCCTGCCCTTACGGACCTCTGTGTCTAAGAGCCTAGATAAGATATGTATCACAATGTGACCTTTGCAGTGATCCTATGAGGTCAGTAGAGCCAGGATTATTTTCCCCATTTTATAATTGGAGAAACTGAGCCCCTGTTCTGGCCAGTTTGGCTCAGCGGTAGAGCATCGGACCGCAGACCAGTGAGTCCTAGGTTCAATTCCAGTCAAGGGCATGTACCTCGGTTGCAGTTCGTCCCCGGCCCTGGTCAGGGTCATGAGGGAGGCAACCAATCAATGTGTTCCTCACACGTTGATGTTTCTCTCTCTCTCCCTTTCTCTTTCTCTCTCTCTACCTGAAGATAAATAGGAAAAAAAAAATATCCTCGGGTGAGGATTAAAAAAGAAACTGAGCCCCAGAGAGGGGCAGTGACCACCTTGGGTGATGTAGTTGGGAGGCAGGGCCAGGACCAGGACCCAAGGAACGTGTCTCCCAGCTCAGGTCTCTCATCTGGAGGCTGTGACTACACAGCATCAGAGTTAAATGAGGAGCCGCTTTTTGTTTTGTTTTTTAATACTCACCCAAGGATATTTTTCCATTTTTCTTCAGATAGAGTGGGAGGGAGGGGGAGAGAGAGAAACATGGATATGAGAGAGACACATCGACTGGTGCCTCCCACACAACCCCAACCGGGGCAGGGGACGAACCACAACCAAGGTACGTGCCCTTGACTGAATCGAACCCGAGATTCTGGTCCCACTGGCCGACGCTCTAACCGCTGAGCAAGTCCAGCCAGGGCCGGAACCGGTTCTTAAACCATCACTGTTCCAGAGATCGTGTTGAAAAGCCGCCTGGCACGCTCCCCCCTTCCTGCGCCCCCACCCATCTTCCTGTCCTCTGGTGGCCCAGGGGACACACTGTCCTTGCCCCATGCAGCTCCCTGCAGCTCACTTACCTTTTATTTATTTACTCGTATTTCTCTCTCCTTTTCCCCCAGGTTGTGATCAATTATTCAATCGTGAAAGGGCTGAAGTACAATCAGGCGACACCAACCTTCCACCAGTGGCGAGACGCCCGCCAGGTCTATGGCTTGAACTTTGCCAGTAAGGAGGAGGCGACCACGTTCTCCAACGCCATGCTATTTGCCCTCAACATCATGAATTCGCAGGAAGGAGGTAAGCAGGGCTCTGCCCAGGCTGCGCCGGCTCGTCTCCCGTCTGCCCATGCCTCCCTTGGCTCGCCTCCTTCTGCTCCGGCTCTCGGGGTGTTACGTGGGCTCTCACGGAACCGCTGCCTGACTCCCGGCTTAAAGGGAGATGCCTGGTTCGCAGGAGGAGGGAGGGGCGTCGGCATCTCTTGCCATCGGGGAGATGCAGACTTGCTCTGATGTGTTCCTGACGTGTACGTCCAGGTCTGTGTCACGCCGGTCATACTCCAGAGGAGGGAGGGAGCGAGCCGCAGTCTGTTCTGGAATTCAGTTACTTAGCCTAACAAACTTCTACTAAACAGTTACCGGGTGTAAGAACCTGGTAGGCAGAACAGCTGAGAAATGAATGGATGAGTCCTTCCCCTCAAGGCACTTGCCTGTTCAGGAGACAGGGTCATACATAACCTGCCAGTGTCACTGTCCTGTGATAAGTGCCCTCATAAGGTATGAGCGGGGTCCCTGGGACACAGGATGGGGAAGCGGGCAACTGCCCGTCAGGGCTGCCAGGAAGGCTTTGATGGGTGGTGACATTAAAGGCTGAGGAGGTCACAAGGCTGAGGTGGGGGCGGCCTCAGGCAGGGGCAACAGCACATTCAAGGCACACGGCATAAAGCTCTGTGCTGGGAAGAGGACACTGCAGTGTTCCTGAGGCCCAGGGCACACGGGGAGGGTGCTGGAAGGACACCAGAGGGGTGGGGATTCCCGTAGATGCGGGGGCTTGGGTGCAGACAGTGGGGGAGGGGCTGCTGCAAAGGGGCCACTAAAGCAATGAGCAAAACCTGTGTGGCTTGTGTCGGAAATTTGCAGTGTTCGCCCAACGGGAGGACAGAGGCTTTCCAGGGCGTGGGTGACGCAACGGCCACGGATATGGTCCTGCCCCTGGCTAGAGATCTCACCTTGGTGGAGCCTGGTAGCTTGACACCAGGCCTGGGGGCCACGGCCGGGCGTGAGTCCTGGTTCTGCTGAGGAGCCCCGGGACAAGTGACTTCATTCTCTGTGCTTGATTTCCTTCTCTGTAAAATGGGGTGACACGGGTGATGCTTATGTTTAAATGAGCTGGAATATAAAATGTCGAGCAGACTGCCTGACACGGGCTGACCTCCCTGGGTTAGTATCATGGGTATTATTTCTGACACTGCTGCTGCTGCCAGAATTGGGGGGGCGGGGGGCGGTGCTTAGAGCCTGGGGGAGGTGGCTCCTCAATAGCTATTGTCCTGATGTACTCGGCTATGCAGCCCAGCTCAGGCCGAGGGAAATGTCTTTAAGTAAATAAAGAACATGTTTAGAGTATTCTTCCCAGGATTAACAGAGGGCTTTGCCGGGTGAAGGGGCTCCAAAGTGTGGGTTTCTGCTGCCAACGTGGGTGTGTGGTGGGGAGCCGCTCACCCGCGGCGTGCGGAGTGACCAGCATTGTAGGCACTAGACAGACAGACGTCCATTAAACTTTTTCCACCAGGAGCCTCGCGCCTCTGGGTCAGGTGACCAAGTTCAAGGTTCCGACTTGAACGCCTCGCGGGCCCGGGTGCGAGCTCAGCCTTGTTCACCCGCACACCTGGGCACACTGCAAGCCAAACTCAGGCAGCAGCTTTTAACTGAGTCAGACAACTGATTCTTTCAAAGCAACTGCTGGAGTTAAATGAAACGTCTAGTCACTTGATTAACTTCATGGACCCATAAGGAAATCAGTGGATCCGCCTCGATTTCACATGAGAAACCCACGGCCCCATCGTGGGTTTGTCAGGTGCAGCTCAGACTCACCCAGACCTCCACCGGGTTGGATGGTATCTGCTGGGGCGGGGCGCCGGCCAGGGTGCGTGTGGGGTCAGTGTGCCTGGCCTGGTTTCACGTTTGCATCCTGAGGGGTGGTGTCTGGTCCAGTGGCCGAGGCTGGTCTTCTGCGGATGGGCGAGCTCTGGGGGCAGCAGCCCCAGCCCACTGCGGAGGCTGCTTTGTCTCCCCTGAGGCACAGCCTGCAGGCAGTGCGGGCACAGGTCTGAGCCGCAGCTGGGGGCTGCCACCCGTGCGCACCAGGTCCCTCCCCCTCCCGGGGCAGTGGTCTGCCAGTGTTGGGACTTCACCGTTCGTGCGCTGTGTGCAGCGTGTACTGCTGGGCCCAGCTCTCCCCTCCACACTGACTCGTGGTCCGGTCTCGTCACGGGGCTGCGCTGACCCAGCCTGCCTGCTGCCGGCGGTTCTTCGGTGCCCGCGGGTCCCCCACCAGCTGCCGTAGAAGGCCCCTCGCTGCCAGCTCACTGGGGCGTTTTCTGTTAAATCCCGTCGGGAAATCGCCCTCTCCCCTCCCTCGGTGGGGGACAGTGTGCGGTAGTGGAAAACACATTTGTGTAGGGGCAGCTGGATCTTATCGTCAGCTCTGCTCTGTGGCCTTGGGCTCATTAACCCTGCTTCCTAGGGCTGTGGTGAAGATTGCATTTGAAATGTTTGCACAGCACTTGGCGTCTAGTGCCCGGTGTCGTAAGAGCACAAATAATATTGGTTCTTTCCCTCTTGGTCTTGTTAGATGTGGTTCTTGTCTGTGAGTGTCCATGTCCTCATGTGTACAGTGTGTCCTGAGTACCTCTTACAGAGGTGTGGAGAGGACTCCAGGGCTCAGTGTGGTGCTTGGCACCTCGGTCATGCTCGCCTGCGACTCCCTCTCCTCAGCGGGTTCTGCAGCGGCGTCAGGGACTCGGGCCTTCGGGTCGTGGTCTCCGCGCGCAGGGTCTTGCTCAGCACGCCCGCGTCTCTGTCCTGGTGCAGGCAGGCACTAGAGTGGCCGCCCGGGTTTCCAAACCTGCCAGACACGAGCCACTGAGCTACCGAGCTGAAAGCAACTCAGAGGCCGAGGACTCAGTGCTGAACTGCTGTCCCATCCCCCTTCTCTTGCCTGGGTCTCCACAGCCTGGAGATGAGTCTCCAGGTAACACCACGGTCAGGAACCCAGGGGGAAGTGACTGCCCTGTCATTCCACCGCCAGAGAATTCGGAAATTCGAACCCAGAATTCACTCACTCGCACAGGTTGTGTGTCTGCCAGTGGACGACAGGTGGAGGCCATGATTTGTGTCTGTCTCGGTTCCTTTCTGCCTCTCCACCCAGTGACGCCGCTGTCAAGCCCAGGTTTTTCACGTATTTTGAGAGAAAGTGTGGGCACCGCAACATGTATGTGTCATGTATGACTGCAGACCTGTTTCCCAGGAACAGTCCCTACAGTCTCCCCACTCGCTTGTCTCCTCCGCGTGGGGATCTTTCCGTGCCGGTGGCCGGGGCACCACTGACTGCTGCGTAGGAGGTGCCATAATCTACCCAGCCTTCTGCTGTTACACATGCCGGTGCCCATTCTTCCCTGCTCTGCTCGTGACAGAGGGCTCTCGCACGTGTTTGTGTGTGTTCGTATGTCTGCTTTGTATCTTGTGTGTTCACCTCGGCACACTTGGCCAGTGTTCTTGGACAAGAATGTTTGTTAACTTTCCTCTGTGTTGCCCAAATGCCTGCCGGGTGAGTGCCCTGCGCTCTGCCGCCACCCTCCCAGCTGGGCGTGAGGCTCGGGTCAGCCGTGGTGAACAAGGGGGAGGACACACCATCTCACTCTGCATCTGCTTACAGCGTGGGCGACATTTTTCATACAAGAGCGGCCTCGTCCTTCCCTCCTTTGCAGCGTGGCTGAGTCGAGCGCAGCATGGAGGGCGCAGACTTCCTGCGCCGTTGGTGACACCTGTGTACTGTCCCGCCCCTGAAGTCTGCGCGTCCTCTGACGACCGAGGAGCTCGTGTTTCCCTGGCGGATGTGTGGAGGTGCCGGTATCACGGGGTGTTCCAGGCCCACAGGCCGTGCAGACACCTCTCCCCCACCTCGCTGGGAGGCACCTGCAGTGTCTCGCTGACCTTCAGGGTCTTGACCGGGCGGGAGGCCTGTCGTAGCCCTTCCCGTGTGCTCGGGTGAGTGCGTCTGCTCCGTGGGGAAGAGGCCTTGTTGGCGGGGCGTGGGCAGACCCGATTCTGGGCCTGGCCATGCTGGCCACCCCACGCGGCCTGGAGAAATCACTGCCGCTTTCTGGGCCGCGGTGTCTTTGTCAGTGAGACAGGATGGCACGTCTGGCCCGGTGAGAGGACGAGGAGATGACGGGTAGGGAAGCCTCCCGAGGCACACAGCACAGGTGTGAGGGGCTGTTGTGGCTACTGGCAGCAGTGGCTTGGCCAAGTCCCACCTGGCTGAGCCCCATGCTTCCCTGCCAGTGTCTGACAGCTCCGGGCCCTTCGGCCCTCGGGAGTTCACTGGAGTCCTTGGGAAGAGCCCGGCTGGAAGTCAGGAGTCTGGTTCTTGGCCCGGACGCCACCACGTGGCTCACACGTGGCTCCAGGCATGTTTTATCTCCTGGGAGGCATTGGGCAGGCAGTGCGCAACAGGGCGGCCTGGTGATGGGGAGGAGGTGTCGCCGTGGGCAGGGGCTGGGGGCTGGGCATGTCACAGTGCGCAGGCAGTCCTGCACCGCGAGGTCTCGTTCTGCGTGTCCCCAGCACGTGGAGGCGAAAGACTCAGTTATCTGAGCCAGCAGAACTCTGTTTTAAGAAAAAGCTCCCCACCCCTCACCCCTGCCGGTTTTAATATGTGCCGATTTTCCGGGAATGCAAATACCACGCGCTTTGCGCTTCGAAAGGAAGTTGTGTTTTCATTCCTTTGTAAGTTTACCTAGAACTCTTTTCTGTCTTGGAAGCATTGTCGCTGGTGAGGTTGGTCATGCTCCACACAACTCCCTTCACCAAACCCGTCTGCAGCATCAGCGGTCCCTGCGAGGAGGAGTGAGCCTCTGCCTCCGTCTCCCCGTGTCTGAGCTGTGGCGTGTGCAATACCAACTTATTACAGGCCTCTTCTTGTCACGCCTGCACAGCACACCTGAGGCGTTATCTTTTCAACTTATGTACGTGGGCTGTGTAACCCATGAGTGTCACTCAACATAACACAGGGAACATCCA